CTTTTCCTTCATCTCTGCAGAAGATAGACTTTGCCCCAGAAGAGTCGGGTTTCCTCAGGATCATCACCCTGACCCAGTTTCTACCCCGTGGATTCCAGAGGAGAACCCGGGGATGGGGTAAAGCCTTCCAACATGGGCCATCTTGGGTCCGTCAAACTGTCACCTTCTGTTACACTCCACCTCCTGGACTTCATCCATCTATAAAAGGCACTTGGATCAACAGCCCTCTCTGACTCCTGCTGACCCCATTTTCCTTCAAGGGGTCTGTGGTCAGGTACTAAATCCCCAGTTCTCAAAGTGAGATCCCGGACCAGCAGCAGCAGGAGCATCACCTGGGAATTTATTAGAGATGCAAATTCCCATGCCCCGCCCAGACCTTAGGAATCAGAACTCCTGGGGGAGGGGCCTAGCACTCTGGGTTTAACCCCTGCTCCCAGGTTTCCTGAGGCACTTGGGTTTGAGAACCCCTGTCCTGTATTATCAACTTCCTCATCTCTCTGCACTGAGTCTGCTATTGCCTCTGGGGCTTTCATGAGGGGATGGGGGACGACATCCCTCCGAAGGAACAGAAAGTCTGATCCACTTGGGACCACTGAAAGCCAGCCACAGGTGGCTCTAACCACTGCCCTTTCCCCTGGTCCTTATGCGATTTCCCATGATGGCATCTCCAGGTGCCCTCTGCCTCCCCAGGTTCCCATCCTCCTCACCCTTCTTTTCAAAGGTAACAAAGTCTTCTTTAGGCCCCGAGAAGGCAGCTGGAAGGCAAAGGGGCAGGCGTTGTGCTTGGATCCGAGCCCCAGGCGCCATCCCCACTGGTGTGTGGGCTGAGGAAAGCTGGTTAGATGGGCAGCAGGTGTCAGGTCGCTGACCCAATGCTCCAGCCATCACCCGGTGTCGCCTCCCAGGACTGCTTTCCATACTCACCGACAAAGATTTTTAACCTGACAACTGTACAGACTCTCCACCTAACTGAGAAAATGCCAATGGATGGCCTCAACCAATCATCATCCTGCCCTGCTTTCTTTGCCAATTCCACAAGCAAAAGGTCCCTCTTACAGCCTCCGTGTCCTCAACAGTGGGACATCTATTTTCTCAAAGATAAAAAAGCCCCTCTCGGGCAGGTGCGCCACCCGGCTTGGACCAGCGATGCTCAATGCCGGCTGCAGAACTCTGGCAAATGGCGGTTTCTTCTGAAAAGTTCCTGACTGTTGGGTAAACAAAGGAGGATTCTTGAAGGAAGTCTCCAGCACCCACGCAGCAAGAGATCAAAGGAGAGTCCAAATAAGCCCGAGAAAGAAGAAAGGGTGGATTCCGTCCCAGCTGGGAAACACCTGTCCTGGGACTGGGGACCCGAAGGGATGGTTTTCTTTTAGAAATTCTGCCTAGACTTGAAGCAGAAGGCAGGCAGAACCAGAGAGCAGGAAACATGGAAGAAAGCCTGGTGGGCTGGACCCCAGAGCTGAACAAGGAACCAGGAAGTCACTGCCCTGAGTCCTTGCTGACCCTGGAGGAAGCCGTGGGGACAGTCCCACCCTGGGTTGGAGCCTCACACACTCACCCCTGTAGCCTGAAGGTGCTCTGAAATTCTAGAAGCCAGACTTGGAAATGACTGGTTGCCCACGACTTACCCTCCCAACGTTCGCTCCACAAATATTTTATCAATGCCTACCCCCATGCTAGGACTTGGAGACGAACACGTCCATGACTCAGCCCCTGACCCTGGGGAGCCCAAAGTCTAGAGCAATACAGACCACAAAGCCGGGCCTGGGATTTAAAAAGAAATCAGAAAGAAAGGGGAAAAGTAGTTCACCGTTATGGGACAGAAGAGATGACAAAGCATGTGGTCTTGAGACCCCCAAATTTCCATGTCATGAAAGTGGGAACTCACAGGGACTTTCCCCTCCTGAAATGACCCCTTTCCCCACTCCCCTCACTGTTCATTTTACTGAAATTAGGAAATTAAAGACCACCAGAAATAACCAGGGGTAGGGGAGAAGCAGACAGTGATGCAGATTTAAACAAAAAAAAAGACTGGCCAAATTTGGTAATTATTGAAACTGTGATGGGAACGTGTAGGTTTATTATGTCTTTTGTTCTACTATATCATGTGTGAGAGTGTGTGAGTGTGTGTGTGTGTGTGTGTGTGTGTAAGTGCATGTGTGTACATGCATTTTCCCACCCAAAGGGTTAAAAATGCACCCATGGATGACTCTGAAGTGTCACCTTAAACTCCTCCAGGATGCTCCCTCCCCCGTTGCTAATCTGACTGGAATCCACCCCACACCCCACCTGTAATCTCTCTGTAAACCTTAGACCCTCCAATGATCTCTGAAAGGAATGCTGATCATCTCCCTTGCCTCGAGCCAAAAGCAGATCTTCCCAATCCCACTGATACACCAGAGCTTGAGGGCATCCAGGCAACATGCCCAAGTGTGGATCTAGATAACCCATGAGCTACTACTGGTTTCTCAGGGCTGGAGACATTAAGAAAAGCTCATGCACCTGTGTCCCAAGACAGGTACAAGGATGTAGATAGCTGCTTTATTCCCATTTGCCAAAAAATGGAAACACTCAAATGTCCATCCACAACCAGCAAATTGGTAAATAAGTTATAGTATAATCATATAATGGAATACTATATATCTGTATAAAATATCAAACTTCAGATACACGCTGTGCCGTAACTGAATTTCACAAACATGATTTTGAGAGATAGAAATCAGACACCCAACAGTATATATTTTCTGAATCTACTCAGAGGGAGTCAAAATTACTTGTTTGGGGTAAAGAAAAGGCTACTAACCAGAAAGAGAAACAAATGTTCTGGAAAGTACTAAAAATGTTATTCTAGCTTGTAGCTACATAGATGCACACATATGTTACACTTCATCAATACACTTAAGATCTCTGCTTTTTAAGCTACACCTCACTTTTGTATTTTCAATTAAGAAAAAAAAAATTCTAACAGTTTTCCATGTTGTGTAATCATAGCATTTATCGTTCCAATATGGGGAATTTTAAGAATAAAAAAAAATGTGCTGTTAAAAAATGTCAGGACAACAGGTGCAAGCCAGGATTCGCGGCCACCCGCTTGATCCAGCATTGATTTCTGGGATCTCTTCTTTGCCTGGACCCATGTTTCTCAACCAGTCTACAGACTAATCAGTTCCAGAGCTTTTGAAGAATTGCCTACCAGGGAATTTTGCTTTACTCGGGAATCTGATTTACTTGATCAAGAGTGGATCCTGGTGGTCTACCTTTGTGTTCTTTAAACTTTCCAGCTGGGTCTAACGTGCAGTCAGAAGAGAGGACATTAACCAAGGTACAGCGCAATGATCCTCCACCAAAAAGGCTCAGCCTGTCGTATGGGTTAGAAGATCTGTTTCAGCACGGCTGCCCGGAGAAGATGAAGGGCAGTTCAATTAGGTGTGAGTCTGTATTTATCTCAGGGTGGGGGCGGAATCTTTATGGTGCATGAACTACAATGTTTATCTTTTACTTCAAAGGTAAGTGTCCCACTTGCTCATTCACACCTGTTGGGTTTTTAGCTCTGGCATTTATGTCTGATTGTTGATTTCTGATTACATGCATGAGATCTGGGTTCGATACCCAGCATCACACACACACACACAAGAATCTAATGGGATTGATTATTCACACAAGATGACTAATCATCCTGGTTTTTCCTGGACCATCCTAGTTCTCGCTCTAGAGGTCCCATGTTCCAGGAAACTCCTGAGTTCTCAGAAAAGGGATGACTGTGCAATCCCAATAGAGCTCTAGAACAGTTGTGGGGCCCACATGCTTTGGGGAAGGGAGACCATAGATCTGAAAACTGCTGACAATTCAGAGAAACCTCTGGCCCGGGTATTGCAGACACATAGTTCCATAATAACTCTCTTTTACTTTTCCAAATTCCCATCCACTCACTGTGTTCGGGAAGCTCTGCCCTAGGCTACCCTGGTCAGTATGGCTAACAGGCCCAGGAACATTGCTGATCTTGCCCATCTTGCCTCCCTTCCTTGTAAGATGGCATGAGGACAAGACAGCTCATCCACCTCTAATTCCAAGCTGTAGCACATGATCCAACGTCACTCTGTCCTTGACAAGCCCAGCTCCGTTTCCCAGCACTGAGGAAACTGTCTTATCACCAGGCTCAGCTCTCCTACCTGGAAGGTTTCCTGAACGCTCAGGTGAGGTCGACTGTTCATAAGGCTTCCGTCTCTGAAAGCACATCCCTGGATTATGTGGGGTTTTTTGTTTGTTTGTTTTTAAGTATCATAGGACAGAGGTTTCTGAAATAGATGGTTTCTGCTGATACTTTGCCACAGATTCAAAAGGATTGGAGACAACAGAAGATACACAGCTACCAGAAGCTTCATGTATTACCAGTGGGCCATTTAGCAGACACCTCCCCATTTTTCATAATAACCCCCTACTTCATCAGCATGTGACACCCCCTTTTTTGGAGAAACTCATTATCACCCACTTGACATGTTTAAGAAACCATACTTAGCCGGGGTGGTGGCACACGCCTATAATCCCAGCAGCTCAGGAGCCTGAGGCAGGAAGATCCCAAGTTCAAAGCCAGCCTCAGTAACTTAGCAAGGCCCTAAGCCTGTCTCAAAATAGAATATAAAAGAATATGGCTCAGTGGTTAAACCCCCCAACACACACACACACACCAGTTCAATTCCCATTACCAAAAAAAAAAAAGAGAGAGAGAGAGAGAGACTGTACTTTGCTTTCTGCCTGGTACCAGCTCACCAGGGCCAATCCTGTGTGGCTAAGAAAACGCGTTCTCTCCTCCTTATAGACAGATTTGCATTTACTTGCTGCTATGTTAAGAAGATTTACTTGAAGACACTGCACCCAGAAAAGAATAAACAAGGATACTCTTTATGCACACTATTACATGAGGGGCAGCAGGCAGGATAAAAGTACTTGAACCAGAATCCATTATCAAAACTGCTACTAGCCAGGTATGAGACATCTCTTACCTCTCAATACCTTGGTTTGCTCTTCTGTAAAACAAAACATTGGGACAAAATTATCTCCCTGACCTCCCCTCTGCTTCAGAATGCTGCCGTCTCTCCAGGTTACTGAATTCTCTTCCATCCACTGGTTATTTCTAATGTACTGTCAACAGGAATCGAGTGTCTGCTAAAAACAAAATTAGGTAATGATTGACTACAGTGCATGATGTATTAAAGATTAAACAAGAACCCTTTTAAAATACAAAGAATAAATATATACATTTCAGGGAAGAAACGTGTTTGGCTGAGAAATACACAAAAAAAGATGTTCAACCTCGTTAGTCATCAGGAAAAATTAAAGTGAGATGTCATCTTTCCTCCATTAAATTGGTAAAAATGTAAAAGATTAATAATAATATTAATTGTAGACCAGCATGTGGGAAAAGAAAAACTGCAATTTAGCGACTTTTTAGGGACAATTTCTACCAAAATGTAAACGTTTAGTGCTCTTTGACCCAAATCTATCAACCTAACATAAAATATTTATATATGTTCTACAAATATAAATAGTTTGGACACAAATTAACTGTCTTTCTACAGGAGATTATTTTTTACTATTTCACCCAGAAATTGGTTAAAGGCACTTAGCTTCCCTTTAAGACTCTTCACATTGACTTCATAATTAAAAAAGAAAAAAAAAAAAAACAGTTGAGGCTAGCTCTTCTGTCAGTCATGAACTACAATTTGCACTTGGCATCAGTTGCATAGAATTCGTAGCTTCCCTCTCTCTCTTGCATCAAGTATAGATGACTTTGAAGGTGGAAGTTCATTTCTCTACCTTCTCTTCCATTCAAAACAGGAGAGAAGCCAAGCACTGTGGAACACACCTAGAATCCGAGTAATCAGAGCAGGAGGATCACAGGTGCAACGCCAGTCTCAGCGACTTAGTGAGCCCCTGTCTCAAAAAATAAAAAGGGCTGGGCATGTAGCTCAGTGGGAAAGCACCCGGGGATTCAATCCCTATTACCACAAAAATAAAAGGAAAATGAAATCAGCCATGTAAAAATCAGGTGCTTTTCCCTGTGAAAAGACAATCTATATGATTGAGAATTTCTTTCCTGTCTTCAAAGAAAATGATGTATAAATCAGTCTGAGAAAGAGAACATCCCAAACAGAAAAGTCAAAGGTCTCCCCTGCAGGTGACTTCAGTCTGACCTCCAGGAGAAGAGGGGGCAATGCAGGTCAGCTATAGCCCTTCAGGATGGAGGAGGGTACTCTGTCTTCAAGTGTGAACAAGACCTGAGCTCTTGAAAGGGGGGTCTGCCTGACGAAGAAGTGACCCTCAATCCTTTCCAGAAAACGCTCTTCAAAATGGAAGCTGAGGGACTCAAAGAGTGTTTGAGGCAGTAGACACTTCTCCCACGAAGCATAAACTTTTTAGCTTCAAGTTCACAGCTTTTCCCAGTGCATTAAAAATTAACTTGAGCCGGGTGCGGTGGTGCACGCCTGTAATCCCAGCGGCTCGGGAGGCTGAGGCAGGAGGATCGTGAGTTCAAAGCCAGCCTCAGCAACCATGAGGCGCTAAGCAACTCAGTGAGACCCTGTCTCTGAATAAAATACAAAATAGGGCTGGGGGTGTGGCACAGTGATCGAGTGCTCCCGAGTTCAATCCCTGGTACACACCCATGCACCACCCCCTAAAAAAAAAAAAAACTTTGAAAAAGAGAAGGTTGGATTGGGCTCATTCTCTTTCTATTAGGGGCATTTTATTAACGTGAAGTTTCTGGACATACTATTCTCCATCTAAATAAAACATAAGACAGTCTATCTAAAGGCAAGTAGAAAGTATTTTTATGGAAATAAGCTGGATATGGACATTAGGCTGAATGGTTGACCATTAAATACACAAACTCAGAGACACTTGCAGGCCCAGTGTGGACAATTACACCCCCAAAACTAAAGGCTGTTAACATCCTGGATGTTTGAACGTTTTCTCCAGGAGCCCAGTATTTTCACAGACAGCACCTCATTTCTATACCCGAAGTTTCTAGAGGCAGCAACTAGCCCCATTTTCAAACTATAAAGAAGTAGATGCCAAAAGCCAACTGACTTGCCAAAGTTCACACAATCCTGGGTCCAGGCCTACGTGCCAGGCCAGCACCATCGACTCAAAAATCATATCTGAGCATTTCCATGATCATTTTAGACACGTTCTTTCTCCAAGCCACATTGCAATAGAGCTGTCACTTTGGTTCCAAGAATGTTCTTTGATATGGGGAAGCATCCAACAAGCCTCTTCCTCCATCTGAACGAGTTCGTCCGGACTCTCAGCTCAACAGGTGGGAGGAAGTTTAAAATCTGGGAACCAGGACCTGCCACCAGAGCCAACTCCAAACAGAATCCAATCATCACCCCAGCAAGCTGCCCCAACACGGCTGTTAGGTTAATCCCCACTCTGGGCCTAAATCAGAACCTTTGCACTCAGTGTAAACAGCAACCCACCAATGAAATCCCAAGACGTTTTCTCAGTGCCCCACAGACTGATGGCTCATTCATCCCCACAGGCCATTCAGGGTCTAGTTCCAGTTCTGGGGCCCAGTTGTCCTGAGCCGGTATCAGGCGGGGACTGTTCACACTCTCTGCTTCTCTGCTCTCTTTCCGGGCCTTCACCTATATATGCTGCCTCTCTATCCAGAAAATTCAGCTTGTCTTCCCCCACTCCTCACCTACCTCACCCATCCAAGGCTCCTACGTCACTTCTTCCAGGAAAACCTCTGACCTCTTGGGAGCCATAATTACCCAGTCCCTGCCCTAGCAATGGACCTCAGGTGACATTCCACGTGCAATTCGTTACCTGTTCACCTGTCTGCATCCCCCATTCAGAACATAAAGTCCCTGAGGGCAGGGCCTTGCTCTGTGGTCGCCTTTGTAGAGCAGGGCTCCGTTGTGAATAATTGATTGAACATTCTAAATCAACAGATGCTATAGATTACAGTTATGGCAGAGCTGCTTCAAGATACTGAAGATGGGAAGGTCAAGAAGGTCTGGCCACTGCCTGCCTATGTATTTTCATTTATTCATCCATGATGATTTTTATCTTTTTTTTTTTTTCATGTAAACCTTGACAAAAGCACAGCCACTCCTTGGGTAATGTTGGAGAAGGAAGCCAGTGCCCTGGAGCCAGTTACCTCTAGACAAAGAACGTCCTTCTCTGTGCTCTTTGTGATGTTTCTGAAACGCCAGACATTGCCTTTCCTTTTCTTTGTGACTGTCCTTTCTATAAAATGACAACAAAATAAATAAATAAATAAAAATAGAGCCTTCAACTCTTCTGCCTCCAGACAATTAAATAGGGGCACAATCATCCGGCCTCTCACTTGAGCCTCCCGATCTGCCTCTAAACCAGCCTCTTCTCCCACTCCTTCAAGATGTCACCCTAGTCTGCTTCTCAAAGTTGGTCCAGGGACCAACAGCACCTGAGCGCATGTTAGAAACACAAGTCCTCCATCCCCACCCTCAGGCACACTGAACAAGACATTCTGGGGATGGGCCTGCCCACCTGTGTTTTTTTAAGACCTCCAGGTGATTTTGATGCTCTCAAATCCAAAGAGCTGCTGACCTGTCCCTTATCTTCCCAGCATTTAATTGCAAGCTGACTTGTCCTGTTTTTATTTAAACACCTTGTTTAGTTCTTGCCTCCCTCTCTGGGGGAGTCCAACTACGTGAAAACTGAGACCCCTCTGTGTTGCTCAGGGTCTGTCCCTTCTAGGTGCTCAGTAAATATTTGTCAAACCAATAAACAAATCTCCCTGTATCTGGTTGTTTTCCCCAATATCCTGGGAGCCGGCTCTGAACCATCCCTGAAGGAGTTAAACCTCCCTGGTGAGTCATCTGGCTGAGCTCTGGTTATCTGTCAGTGTTGATAATGCTCCAAGGACAGTAGGTGAGACACAGCACAGCACAGCTTTTTATCCTCTTTGCCTAAATCCTGGAGGCTGGAGAGCTGGTTAGAACCATTCTGTACCCACACTTCCAAATGTCAGGGGCCTGAAGCAATTCCACAATGGAGATATTTGGGGACCCACAAATGGACTAGGATCGCTAAGGATTCCCTGTACAGGTGGATAAACAATTCTCCTCATAGCCCATCCCCCCTGGTGGTCCTCCCTTCCTCCAAGCACAAAATCACCCCCCACTTCTCACACCCAAGGAAGGGGAAACCAGTTGTCACTATGGTAGGAAATCTCATTTCCAAGTTCAGAGCAGCAAGGTTTGCAAAGTCCTTGCTTATTAGGTTGGAGGGGTCGGAAAGGCAGAGAAACGGCCATTGCAAACAGGAAGGCAAGAGCTGCTCCTTCCTCCCTTCTCCACTCACTCTCTCCCTCCCTGATCCTCACCACACACCCAGAACACCTGGAGAGTCCTGCCTGTGCTCCTCAGAAGAGGGAACTACATCTCTGAGAGAGCTGTGGCCCCAGGGTCATCCAGTGAACCTTGACCTCTAACCCAGTTCCCACCCCAAAGCCCTCCTTCATCCCCTGGGCCAGCTGCAGCATTCACCTGTGGGTAGGGAAAGAGACGTGAATTTTCAGGAGAGAATACACGGGGTGGCTTCTGGCTTCATCCACCTGCCCACCCTGCCCTGAGTCCACCACGCCTCTCTGACTGGATTTGCCCTGGGCCTGCCTGGGACGGTTAATATTAATCCCGGGGCTGATGAGCACCTTTGCCACGTTCCCAGGGCCTCTGTGGAAGGGGCATGCTGAGTCACTGCCTACGTGGCAGCCTGTGTCCACACCTTCCAAGCAGCCCGCCCATGGCGTCAGACTCTGCATCCCAACCGAGGGGCCCCTGCACCCCTGGAAGGGGAATGTGGCTGCTTTCACTTGCTACAGGGAGGAAGGAAGGATGAAAGGGCACGTTAGCAATGGAGGGAGAAGGAATTCCAAGCAGCTTAGCTGAGAGATTCCCCCTGATGATCCCCCTGCCTCACATCTCCAATTCTACCCACTCCCATCAACTAACGGCAAGGGGCAGGAGCACTGCTGAGGAATCAGATTTATAAAAAGCAGGCTGGTGCCTACAAAGAAGGTTTAAACACCACCCTGAACACCTGCAGACCCTCCATCAAGCCCCCGCAGGTTCCCGAGGCCAAGGCCCCAGGTTTCTCTGCCTCTCGGCTTCGCCCCCACCCTCCTGTCCAAAGTCCAAATTCGCCTCTGCCCTGAGGCTCTCACCCTCTGGAGCGGGCAGGTTCCAAGATCCCTGGTAGTAAGGATGTGGCAGCGGGGCTTGGCACACCTTTCTTCCCACCTCCGTGTGCCTCCCACCAAGGGTGATAAGAACAAGTGATGTGCAATCCGGGTTCTGGAAACACGTGATTGGCAACTTGACGCGCATTTGCCAACAGCAGGGGAGTTGGACCTACCTACCAATATTAAATTGCAATACCCCGAATGGAAATTGCCTGCTGCTTCTGGGCTCGTCTCTAAACCTAAAAAGACACACCAGGGACAATGTGGGTTTTCATGTGTGGGCTGGGGACAGCCATTCTCCCGACTTTGATGCCCCCAAGAGTGTTCAAAACCTCAGTATGTTCAAAGGTGGCCACTCTCCACCCCTGAGCTAATGGTGGGGGGGGGGGAGGTAGAACCATGATAGGGAGTGGAGCAGGGACAGAGGAGAGAATCAGCACAGAGCAGAAGGGAGGGATGAAGGCACCCGGCCCTGTCAATCAAGCCTCCACCCTGAGACCGAGCCCTGACTTTGGGGAGCTGGAACTTCCATGTTCCTGTCTGGCTGAAACACGCCTGGGTGCTCCGTGCTGGGGGCACTGGCGAATCGCCCCTCTGATTCACACCAGGATTAAACGTGGCAGCTTGGGCAAGAAGTAAAATTATCCAGGGCAAAAACTCTGCGGAAGGAACAGAGAGAATACAAACTCAGAACAGAGACAGATGGGTAAATAAATGGCACCCACAGCCCAAGCCACCAGCTGCTCTAGATGCTGAGCTGAGGAAAACTAAGCAGAAGGGCTGAGCTGTCTGACCAGGTCGGCTTCCCCAGGGAGCCGCCAGTTCCCACTGAGGTTCACACCGTGTCTCTACACCCTGCCGGGGCTGTAACATCCCTCACCAGCCTGTACCCTGTGCAAGTCAGAGCACGCGGTTGACATCAGGCCCACAGTCTGGGTCAGCTGTGCTGGGGGCCCAGATCCTGTTCCTGCTGCACGTGACCCCCAGTTGCAACAGTGGGTTAAAGTTCAAAAGCAGCCTGATGAGAAGGTCCCTGGATCAGCTGTACCTTCCCTGACAGATAACCCGACAGGAGAGAAAACATTTGATAATACTTCTGAGCTGTTCTTCCTAGCCAGTCTTTCTGGTACTGATCCCCAATTACGACTGGATTAACAGAATCTTCCTATTTTTTTTTTTCCAAAATGCACAATGAACCTGGTGGTTTATTTTCCAACACGCTGCTTCAACATCCAGCTTATTTTGAGTAAAATAAACCACCAGCCTTCCAAAGGGTATATTCTCAGGTAAACCCAGAGGAGTATTTCTCCTTTCAGATTGTTCATGAAATCAGGGTTTGGGGGTCCACCAAGGAGACCCAAGAAATGTTGCTCTAATGAGTCAGCCGCCAAGAGCCCCAGTCAGTGCTGGCAGGAGGAGTTCTGCAGAGAGCACCTGAGCTTTGTCCCCTTGTCAAAATGTTTAACTACTCAGAATCTTTGACTAAGGATCCCACAGCACGGACCAGGAAAATAGTCAAGGAGGAGGGGAGCGCTCCTAGGCCTAAAGACAGGATACAAAAATGGAAACCATTTCTTACGGGGCCAACAGTACAGTTGGAAAGACAACAGCAAAACTCATAAGATAACAGAAATCCTTTGTTGCTGGACTCAAGACATCTTTAGTACGGTCACAGTTTAGGTGGAACAGACAGGAGGCTTCAATTTTTAACGGAGGGTTGGGGCAATCGTTGTGGGCCGTGGATTGGGAAAGGGATACTGGGACAAAGGACTTGAGTAGGATTTGAATCCGAATGTAAAAAGGCTGTGATTATTCCCTGGGACTTGGCATTCCCTCTTTATTCCGTCTCCTTCTACACATTCCCCTGGGCGATCTCTCCTACAGGTTCCACTACTACCTCTACACAGTGACTCACAAGTTTTTATCTTCAATCTGGATATTTCTCCTCCCTGCCTGGTTCCACTGCTCTGGGGGTTAATTTCTCCACTGTCTCAAAGAGCAACTGGAACTTACCATCTTTCCCCACCTCTGAAGATCCCTGCTTTTGTTCTTCTTTTATCTCCCATCCATGTGCATCAGAGGGCGATTCCCAAACTGGACCAGATGGGCTCACCCTGGAGTGCTCCCTCCCCTGTCCAAGCCCAACTGGTTCCACCTTCTAATTGATTCAAAGCCAGCGCTGTCTCTACCCCTGTGTCCTTCCTGCCCTTGTTGCCCTCGACCTGGTCTCCCCCGGACTCTAGCCTTGGTGCCCTCTGATTTTTTCATAGCAGGTCAGTCTTGCTAAAACCATCTTCTACAAAACCATTCTTTGCTGGTGAATGCATCTGAAACCCTCTTTTCAAAGCATGACCACAAACAAACAGACCTGGGCTTTGCCCCAAGGCACAGAACTTGAGTTGTGTGCAGCATTTTAAAATCATGATTTTAAAAGATTAGCATGTTCTTAGCAAGACTAATTAGTTGAAATAGGAAGCCACCAGATGGTACATGCTATTGATACCCACTGGTAGGCCATCCAATAGCACCCCTAGTTGATTTGGAGATGCTACCCCTTGGTTCCTGACCCTGTACCAGTGTGGTTAATTTTGGCTCTGCACATGAGACTTTCAAGGTCAGGCCTAATGACCTGTTGACCTTCAAGTACAGCAAGTTCCACTCAAGTTGGCACCACTCGCAAGCATCTGAGAGGATGTGCTCTCCCCTGACCCTGTGCCTGGGTATGATGCGGTTCTATTTCCCTAGTAATTCAGTGATTCTCCACAGGGGCAATTTTATCCCCCAATTGGGACATTTAGCAGCATCTGGGGACATTTTTATGGTCCTAACCTGGAGGAGGAAGAGTTGCTAACAATGGCATCCAGTGGGTAGAAGCTGGGGTGCTCCTGAACATCCTACAATATACAGAGCACAAAGGATGGTCTGGTCCCCCAATGTCAATAGTGCTGAGGCTGAACATCCAGGTCCAGATTCAGATCCGCTCAACTCTCACCCACCGGCTCCCCCAAAACTCTCCCCTCCTCTACGAAAGGAAGAGAAGCAGCCTCTGCCTCAGATCCAACCATGGCCTGCAGCAATTACATCCATGTGATTGTATCCTTCTCTGTCCCTCCTCCAAGATCCTTGAAGGCAAGCGATATGTATCCGTCCTCCCTCTATGCCCACTGTTAACATCCCACACCATGAGGTCTCAGGGACTGACACCCAAAGAGAAAAGTCACCGAGTCTGATCAAGGCCGGCGAGTGTTGTTACAATGCCTCTGAGAGAGATGCCCAGTCACGGAGACACACAGCCTCGTACTTACACCGCCACTGGGAGCATTTAACATGTAGAGACTGCGTGTGCTCAGTACCACAGTCACAGATTTTAGACATGATTTACTGTTTCGCTTCAGCTCACACAATAAAAATAGCTGGGCAAACCAGTAGATCAAGGCCAAAAGAGTACTTCAAATACCAACTGTGGCTCTTGACCAACCACAGAAAAATATACAGTCATTTCTGTCTCTTTTTTGGGAGGGAGGGGGTGTACTGGGGATTGAACTCAGAGGCGCTCGATCCCTGAGCCACATCCCAGCCCAATTTTGTATTTTATTTAGAGACGGGGTCTCACTGAGTTGCTTAGCCTCTCTCTTTTGCTGAGGCTGGCTTTGAACTCACAATCCTCCTGACTCAGCCTCCCAAGCCCCTGAGATTACAGGCATGTGCCACTGAGCCCAGCTTCATTCCTGTATTTTGATGTCAAAATTCATGGATGCTCAAGCTCCTTGTATAAAATGGTGCAGTATTTGCATGTAGCCTACTCACCTCCTCCTGTATACTTTAGATCGTTTCTAGATTACTTGTGATACATGATACTGTGTATATGCTGCCAGTAGTTGTTATATATTGTGTGATTTAGGGAACAAGGACTAGGAAAAAAATCTCTACATGTTCAGTACAGATGCATTTTTTTGGTGAATATTTTCTATCTGAGTTTGGTGGAGTCTGCAGATATGGAACCTGTGGATGTTGAGAGCCAACTGTATGCCTGCTCAGTGCTCGTGCTGCTTTGAGAAAAGTGAGGAAATAGAGATAGGGATGTCACTCAGAAGTACAAATTCTTGGAGTGACTGTATAAAAGAAAGAATCCTCAGAATCCCAAGAGTTAGTGCCTTCCCTCCTGGTGGGGAAAGAAAAGGTGTGAAAGAAAAAAAGCAAAATCACCCCCATAGCAAAGCATCCTCCATGTAGCTACTAGCTCTGCAGATTCCAGAAGGCCAAGTCAAGAAGTGAGAACACCACTGTGTGAAGAGGTGAGCAGAGGGAAGACAAACCCACCGGAGTCCACCTGCTGCAACCAAGGGTCTGTCTGTCTTTCTTTTAATTGAAACTGGGTCTCACTAATGTTACCCAGGCAGGCTCCAAATTCCTGGGATCAAGTGATCTTTGGCTCAGCTTTGGAGTAGCTGTGACTATAGTCACCCGTCACTGATACACAGCCAACCATGTGTCTGTTCAATGCCTCCAAAAAAGGTGTTTGGGATTCAGATACCCACCCACTCTCACCTCTGACATTGCCAGTGTCTCAATCAAAGCCCCTTATCCAAGAGACTGGACCACAGTTGGTCAACAAGACAACAAGTCAACAAGTTCGTCTTGTTGGGAAGGGAGTATAGATATCAAGATCAAAATGGGAAATAAAGCAGGTGTGGTGGTGCACACCTGATCTCAGTGACTCAGGAGGCCGAGGCAGGAGGATGGCAAGTTCAAGGCCAGCCTCAGCAACTTAGCAAGGCCCGAAGCAACTGAGTGAGACCCTGTCTCAAAATTTAAAAAAGGGCTCGGGATGTGGCTCAGTGGTGAAGTGACCCTGCATTCAAACCTCAGTACTAAAAAAGAGAATCAAAAGTGAAATAAACGGGCTTCAGGAAAACAGAAAAAAACC